GTGCGGCTCATACTGAGGCAGAGAGTGCAGTCAATGGCATAGGATTGGTGAAGCTCATGGGTCGTAGCACTGGACACATTGCCCTCTATGCAACATTGAGCAGCCGGGATGTTGATTGCTGTTTAATTCCGGAGAATGAGTTCTACTTGGAAGGAAAGGGAGGGCTTTTCGAGTTTCTTGACAATCGTCTGAAAGACAATGGCCATGCAGTGGTGGTGGTTGCTGAGGGTGCTGGACAAGACATCATACCTAGGACTGAATCCCAGGTACAAGAAAAGGATGAATCTGGCAATTCAGTCCTCTTGGATGTCGGCAGCTGGTTGAAATCCGAGCTTAAGAACTGGTGGGCTAGAGATCATCCTAAAGACTTGTTCACAGTGAAATACATAGATCCTACGTATATGATACGTGCAGTACCTGCAAATGCTGCTGATAATTTATACTGCACTCTTTTGGCACACTCAGCAATTCATGGCGCAATGGCTGGCTATACAGGGTTCGTCTGTGGTCCAATTAATGGAAACTACGCATACATCCCAGTGGAGGAAGTGGCACAGGCAAAGAATCCTGTGAACACAAGAGATCATAAGTGGGCATGGGTGAGATCCATTACTAATCAGCCTGATTTCGGGAGTGGCTAAAAACTAAGCCTTCTTCATGGTCCTTGGTTGAATGTATAAGCTTTTTCTATGTTGTTCTGCAGTGATATGGAATAATTGGAAGTTATTATTAGCTTATTATAAGCATGTGTGCTACAAACTCCAGTTATTCTACACAAAGGTAACCTTATCACACGCAGGTGCCCGAATAGCAAGTCTGAGAAAAGGTCTCTTTAATTAAAGTAACTTGGAACAAAACTTTTGTGCACCATCCTTTCTATTTGTGAGTGATGCACGATTTCATAATTTTTTACTGTGGTTGTGGGGGGTATCCGATGCCTTGGCTGTTTTGTTTAAAACCATGCTTATTTTTTAAGTTGTGAGGTTGTATCGTTTAAAGAGATGTTATTCGGGCCTTCAACATTATTGGTGTCAAACATCAGTTTAAGTAGTAACTACATGACATTAAATTATCCATTCAGTTAAATGAAATGTTACACGGTTCATTTAATTGAACTCATCAAATATAATCACTTCATTGGTACTATAGCACTTAAATAATATTATTTTTTGTCTAAAACCAAGCTTATCTACTAAAATTTATGATAATATCTCAGTGCTTTTTCATACTAATGAACAGGATCAATGATATTTTCCAAAGAACAAAACAAAAAGTGATTATGATTCAGTTGAAAAAATGTCATTCCACGTGTCTTTAGAAACGCAGCTTTAGAAGTCGTGAGGAATTGATACTCCCTGCACTCATTTTCACACCATTAAAAAAATTAATTAACCTAGTTGGGATTACAAATTTTTTTCTTAATATACCACTCTATTGTATAATTATTTAAGTACGAGTAGTTCATATTTATTGATAATAAGATACATAAATAAGTGTAAATTAAAAAAATTAACTATATTCTTAATAAGTAGAGTGATTTATAATTTGAGACGAATAAAAATAAAAAAGTAAATCAATTTTTATGGGACGGAGGGAATGTTTCCATTGTATCAGATAAGGCGCGCACATGATAGACCATTTAAAAAGTGCAAGGTGACATACTTTTTTCTTTAAAATATCTGCCGTCTTAACTTGTCACCCAACAGACCCAACCGACATTTTTTGAGCCGTGTTCAATTTTCAAGCGATAGCTCGTTTTTCTTTTGGTATTTACGTTATTCTCCAAACTGTAAAATTGTAAATCAAAATTTTAAGATACTAAACAAAGTAAACAAAATCTCTACACTTTTCCATCCCTGTTCTCCCGGAATTCCCTCCGTTCTACAGCCTTCAAGAGCAAAAACAATTAATATAAAGTTCGAGAAAAAGGTGCATGATTAAATGCATGATCATTGTAGGGTTCTCCAAGATTTCTTGGAATAAAAGTAAAATGGCGAGCAACCTTTTTTCTATGATCACCGTTTTCTTGTTGTGCGCGGCGGTGGTGGAATCAGGGATAGGAGTGAACTGGGGCACTGTGGCGCTGCACAGGTTGTCACCGGAAACAGTGGTGTATCTCTTGAAGGACAATAAGATTGAAAAAGTGAAGCTTTTTGATGCAGACCCTGGTGTGCTTAATGCTCTAAGGGGCAGTGGGATTGAGGTCATGGTAGGAATCCGAAATGAAATGCTGGCAGTCCTCA